AGAGAGAGAGAGAGAGAGAGAGAGAGAGGGAGAAAGAGAGAGACTGACTCACTACGTAGTTCAGGCTGGCCTTGAGCTCACTATATAGCCCAGATTAGCCTTGAACTCCTGGTGATCCCCCTGACTGAGGCTCCCAAGTACTGGGACTACAGACAAGCACCACCATGCCTAGCTCTGAACAATTTTATACTAAAATTTCATATTAGCATAAAAAGAACTATAATTATATCCTTTGTCAGTAGGGATCTTTCTCCATAGCAAGTCTAATTTTAAAAAAACTACACTTTTGTTCTCTGTGATAACTAGGAGGAAACTCTTGCAAGGTAGGATGTAAGCTGAGGCACACATGTGGAGGCAACGACTAGTGTGGCCCGTTAGCCATGCACTGGTTTGTTTGGGACTGTGGAGACCAAGGGAGTAGACAGAAGCACTCACATCACTGGCGATGTCCCTGGAGGCCTTGGCACTTTTGATGGAAATGGCATCTTGTCTCAGGTCATAGTCCTTCATCTTAGATTCATCCCATCCCTTAGTATAAAGTTTCTAAGCATAAGATAGAACACAACAGAAAAGAAACATGTTTTAGGGAGGCCAGTGCCAGAGAAGGCATTTTCAAGGGGGGAGAAATGCTTTAACAGCTCCTAGCAAGGCTTCAGCAACAATCAGAAAGTCTCTTACTTGGCTAATATTGGCAGAATTGCTCTTGGCCAGCAGGATTTCTGGGGTGTCTGGCATCACGTGGATGGAGGTCTTGTCAGCATCCCAAGCTTCCGTGTACAAATGCTGCGGAGGGTATGGAAGAGTACAGCCTTTTGTTAAAGCCAGCCAGGTTGCAGTTATTTTCAAGTTTAACTCACATTTAACTATAAAACCTGTCTTTTCTGGGGTACTTGGAGGTGAAGGAATGAAAGGGGAGTGGAGAGTGATGCGAGGCTGTCTTCAAGCAGCTATGCAATAGTTTCCTAGCTAACATGACACAATACAATGGTCGAATTATGAATTTCTTTCATCCAGTAGATTGCAAACTTACTCTAGGATGTCCACAGATGGAGCTCAGCTACAGAACTGTGATACAGTAGAAATCCCTAGATATCACAGGTCTCAAGTTCCATCTCAAGTACAAGCTGTTTCCAAGCCATGTGATCTTGAGAAAGACATGTAGCTCCTCACAGTCCTTGTTTCTGAACGGGGAATAACCATGTCTTTTGTATTGCATATTTTAAGTTACCATGATACATTTCTGTAACTGATAATGCATGGAGGGACAAACAACTGTCCCATCGTGAGGTGCACTGTACTTCAGAGCATTTTTTATATCTTTGCTATCCTGAAAGTTCAATGTGCACCATGCAGTTGAATAACAGCAGAAGGGAATCAACCATTACAGTAGATCTCTGCAACTTAATGAATAATTACCTGTCTAACTTGTAGCATTTCACTAGGAGTCTTTTGATAACTAGGCTGTTCAAAAACTGAAAGTCATGTCTTTTGGAGGATATATTGCATTTCAGTTATTTGAAATAGATTTAAAACTGTTTGGCTAACAAATAGAGAATTAAAAATAAAATAAATATATTAAAAAAAGTTACCATGATATGCACAATTCCTGAGCCACAGGCAGTTTTCGGTGCTGTTTTGATATTTCAGGACCTACTGTGGTTATCTTTATGATGATTGTTGATGAACATGGTATTCCTAGTCTATAGTTTCTGTGGTTTTATACATGAAGCTGTGGAGTTTGCTATTTGAGAGCAACTGTTTGCTATTCTGCCCTGAAAATTCCATTTCACTACCTGAATGATAGGAAGATTTCCAGGCAGGGGTGGGAGAACTGAGCTCAGTTCAGTCTACAGTGCAGCAGTAAGGGCCTACTCGTTGCATAAAGAACAAGCAGATGGGACAGAACTCTGATGGGGAAAAAAAAGTAAGCACTTATTTGTGTAATAAAACTGAAAGCGCAAATAGCATCTTTCTTCCTATCTTGGATTTCCTCAGCCTAAGACCAAATCAGGTAACTAATTCAAGCTGTCTACTAATACTGCTGTGAAATGCTGTGTGTTATGTGGACAGGGAGAAACCAACAGACTGGGTAGGCTCTGCATAAAGAAGGTGATGCTGCTATCTCGGGCTGACTGGTAGCACTGGAGGGTGTGTGTGTGTTACTCTAGGCAACTCATGCCAGGCTGTGTTTTCACTTGCATGTGGAGAATTACAGGGCCTGTGTTGGGGGGGGGCAGCTGATGGCTATCCAGGCAGACCTACTGCAGGCCTGCAGGAGGACCAGCTGCTTCATGTCCTTTCTGGGGAGACCCATCCTGGCAGTTTTCACTTTATAAAATGAGTCTGTGGTAGGTATGCCCCTGACAACAAGAAACTGCCGAGGACTCACCTTGCTCATTGTGAGGGCATTGCTCTTTGCCAGGACAATTTCCGGGGTGTCTGTAATGCATGTGAATTTGAGCTGGTCTGCTGGCTGGCGGTACTTCCTGTCACTCAGGATTTCTCCAGCTCTCTTGACCTTCTCAACCTCCACAGAGCCGATGGGAACCCACCCGATGCCTCTCAGCCACTCCAGGTCAGCCTTGTAAATAGCCTGGAAATGAAGTAATGTTGAATATTTATAAACATTACCTGGCCACGCTGGTACCTGATCTTGACCTAACACATACTGTAGCTGACTTGTGTAAGTTTCTAGGCAGATCTACAGGGGTGCCTTACTTTGTTTGGAGTGGCAGGTCAGATGCCTTATCTGTGGGGAGAGCTGAGATTTGCTGTTTTAGTATGCATGCTGCTGAAGTGAGCACGCTTTGCTGGGTTTTTGTTTTGAGAGAGAGTCACACTTGGACTCACTATGTTTCCCAGGCTGGCCTTAAACTCACAGGAATCCTCCTGCCTTAGCCTCCCAGGAGCTGGGATTACAGGCATGTGCCACCACACCCAGCTTCTCTGCTATCTTAAAGACATATACAATCTATTTACTACTACATGATTTCAGTGATATAAACCCCTTTGAAGGAAATTACTGCCTGTCTCCTATTTATTCTCTGGTTTGATTGGCCAAGCCTCCGTTTGGGAGTCGCACTCTGTCACACGTGGGTGCCTCCCTTACTGAGCAGCAGCCTTGACAGCCATTCACGTGGCGTGCTTTCCACAGGGATGCACACTACCACCACACCACATATGAGTTAATGTTTTCTGGGGACAAGGAAAAATGGCATTTTGATTCAAACGACTAAGTGTATGTTTCTAAATCAAAGAACTCACGTCTTTTTCATCTTATTTATCACATCTCTTGTCGTGTCTTAAAATTTAAGTAAAAAAGACATTTACTTTTTCATTTTTCTTCCTTGAACTTAAATAACTACCAATAGGATAATCTCTCTCATAAGTAAGTGTAACAATTCTTTTCATTTTTATGACTTTTTGGAACTTAAAAAAAAGCCACTGCTTTTCCTCATTCTTCCAGAAGTCAGTGTTTAGTCAGAGCCTGACCAAAAGTAGGAGCTACAATAAAAATAAGGTAGCAGTTGAGTCCACAGACAAGAATCTACTGGCTAACAAAAAAATGCGGCCAACAGCCAGGCACAGTGGTGCCACCTGTAACCTAAGCGCTGAGGGCCTGAGGCAGCAGGACTGCTAGTGTGAGCCTCGTCTGCTCAACTTACAGCTTTAGCAAAACTTTGTTCCAAAATGAAAAAGAACTGGGGCTGCAACTCAGCGCTAAAAATCTAGATTTAATTTTTAGAATAAAAAAGTGCAAATGTATTTCTAGGGTGTGGTTGTTTACTAATTCCCAGAAAAATTATCAAAATGTGTGTGATTCACTTCTAAACTTTCATTCCCAAGTTATAATACTTCCTACAAGAATGAGAAGTCAATAAAATGATGTGATACAATCAATTCCTTTGAAAAATCAGCTTGTGTTAAACCATAAATCCTTAACCAGTGAATTTAGAAAAGAAATAGCATCCTCTTATGCATTAACTATTAACTGAAATATGACATTTCATTAATTAAAAGTACAGGCAATGGATCATGGCAGTACTAACACAAAATGTGACTCTGTACGCCACAGATATCACCAAGTTTTCATGCACTGTTAGTGTAATATCTTAAGATATTTATGCAAATCACTTCTTTGGAATTAGTTATACTGCATACCTAGTTATTATACCTGTAGTTGCCATTATTTAATATGGCAATTAAAAGCATATGTCTTATTATATCACAGCCTTGATTATTTTTCACAACCACATGTCATGATTGATTTCTTTTAACAATAATATACTTATTTCATTTTATGTATTTCATGACATTGTCCTGAGAAAGTGTTCATGGGTTTTACCAGACTACTAAAAGATTCGATAACAAAAAATTTAGAATCCTTTTTTTATTTGTTAGTGGTTTGTTTGCTTGTTTGTTTCTAGTTTTTTTTGAGACAGGGTCTCACTATGTAGTCCAGGTTGGCCTTGAACTCACTATGTAGCCCAGGCTGGCCTGGAACTTGCTTTGTAGGCCAGGCTGGCCTCAAGCTCATGGTGATACTCCTGTCTCAGGCTCCTGGTGCCTAGAATACCACCTTTAAAGACTTTAAACAAATACTTGAGGAGCATTAAGCCACTTACATCGCTTTGCAGGTCATAGGCCTTCCGAGCCTGAATGACATCGTTCTGATCTGGCAGGCATGTCCACTCATGGAGAGGGTGCTTATAGTCTATGTCGCTCACGAGGATCTGGCACTTCTTGGCCAGCACCACGCCCAGCATGTCCACTGGGCTGCTGAACTTGGTCTTCCACTTCTCGAAGTCCTTCTTGTATTCCCTGTCACTCTGGATCTTGGCCACATGGATGGACCACATCATCTTGGGGTCATCCTTAATGTTTCGTGCACCAATGTGGTGGCCAAGCTGTTTGCGGTAACCTTCCTTGTACTTGTACTGAAGAAGGAAAAGGGGTGGAAGTCTAATTAGAAACACACACTATTTATTTTCAAATTTTCCCCCTACTATCATGAAGGAGAAAGGTGAAGATCACCAATGCCATTTTGTAAAATAGAAACCTGAAGATCATATCACAAGTAGGTGACAGGGTTGAGGCCAAGACTACAGAGCTCCTCACCCTAATATGCTGTCCCTTTCTCTAACCTACACTGTCTAGTATACATCAGATTCCTCAACAACTAACAGGAAAACATCTATGAATCTAGTGGAGCATCTACTTAAAGGCAGGTTATTGTTTCTAATGTTTGACACGAAGAATACTTTAAAATATTCCCCTTGCTTTTAGAGTTCCATCCCTGACCCCTAGTCTTGGGAATATAAACCAGGGTCTTCACACTGATCTACATTCCTAGATATTTGTTTATTTATCTATGTATTATGTTTTAAAACAGGAAATGGCATCTCACTAAATCACCCAAACATCTGGCTCAACTTACAATCCTCTTGCTTCCGTCCTCCAGAGTTCTGAGGTTACAAGCGTGTACCACCACACCCATCTCTGCTCATTTTATAGTGAATTCCCCTTAACAACATGTGTTACATTTAGATAAAGTTTAATGTGTCTCCAAGAATAACCTCCTTTCCTAGCCTGTCAGCATCACTAGCCAGGGAAGAGTCGTACCATGGGATTATGATTCTACCTACTTTTAAAACTCAAGAACATTAAATCAAGATTGTTTTTACCATGACACAGTCATTGCATGGGCCTCTCTAGCTCAGTAACTGAAAAATGTTTTGGTAACAGAAGGGATAAAGCAGGAGTCTAAGGCAAGGGACCCATCCAGGAATCTGTATGTCCTTAGGCCTGTACACTTGAGGACAAGGACACCCTCAGGGTATTTCTCATGAGAGGAAAAGTAGAGAAACACAAAGGGTGGTAAGAAAGAGCTTTGCTCACTTCAGTCTGTTCTTGTGTCTTGTAAGGGGCCTCTTCATAAGGGAGCCCCATGGGTAGTTACAAAGGACAAAACAAAATTTTACCAACACAACACCATCTTGTCTTCCAGAAATAGTAAGAAAGAGTTCACATGTGTATTAGTTGATTTAGTTGTGGTATCAGTCTCTAATTTCATAAACTTAGGGACTAGATGATGCTTAACTTCTGAAGCTCAGAAATAAAGCACGTTTCATTTTTGTCTTTGTTTTTACTTTGGGACAGGGTCTCTCTATGTAAGTGCTGTTTGTCCTGAACTCGCTGTACGAATCAGCCTGGCCTCAAATTCCCAATGCCCTGCCTCTACCTTCTGATATTCCAGGCTTGCACCCTACCCAGCTAAAACAGTTATTTTTAAAAATTATGTCTTTATCTTTGACTGATTAACAGATACTATGGATGTAGTATTTAATCCCGTTCTTTCTTTTTCTTTTTAAAAATTTGCAACTTTGCCTATGAAGGAATTGATTTAGCTGCAGGGACAATAAGTTCTGGCAAGAAAATTCAAATAATCTCTATTTGTCAATACCCTTGAGTAAGAAAGGCTTCTTTCAAAAATGTTGACTTACATCGCTGGCAATGTCTCTAGAAGCCTTGGCAGCTTGAATTGGAATAGCATCAACACGCAAGTCATAGCCCTCCTTCTTGGACTCTTCCAGAGCAAGTTTATAAAGTTTCTGTGGAAAAGAGTCACTGATCAGCACTTCTTCATAAAAAGTAAAGCTGGCTTGTTGTTGGTAAATTTCCTCTGTCATCATTTAAACTGTACAAGTCGCAAAGTCAAGAATTCAGGTGGTCTTATAGATAACCATGTTCCATGGTGCTCACTGATGGTTAAGGCATTTGTTCTAAATTTTCAGATTTTATTGACCGATAAATTTCAAAAATTTGAAGGGAATCAGTATTTGGTGGTTAAATTTTTATTTTGCCTAACAAGCACATGTAAAAAATAACTATTTACTACTATGACCATTCTATAAAAGGAAAGGCCATCTTAATACTGAAGGAGAAAAAAATAAGAATGATGCTTAAAACTTGAATATATTTGACTTAATGAAAATCTCAGTGGATTGTTCTTATTTTTTCTCACTTTGCCAGCAAGGACCATGGGTTCTGGGCTCATTTCTCTTATGAAAATATTTTCCTAGTAAAGAGGGTTTAAAAAGACCTTGCAAACCATGGCAAGTTATACAAACACACACTGAAGCAACAAAATAATACAGGGCATAATGACTCACTGAGTTACAGCTTCATGCCTGCTCCTTACAGTTACTGGATAAAATATAGCTGTACCTCAGTATCCAGGAGGATTTGTCCCAGGAATCTCTATACCAACCCCAATACCAAAATCCTTTGATGCTAAACTCTTTACCCAAAATGGCATAATTTGTATATAACCGGTGCGCTTCCTCCTGTGTATTTTATTTAATGCATAATACATATGCATTTACATATGTACAATATGTACACATGTGCATTTACATGTGTATAATGCGTAATTATATATATAATGAATTATACATATGTATGGCACATAAATGCTACATAAATACTTGTCATATGATTTTCCTTAGAGAATAATAAGAAAAATAATCAGCAAATGATAATGAGAATGAGAAAATGTATTTGGTACTGGTACAATTATTAAATAAAATGATTTTGCTCCACAGTTGATTGATTCTGTGGACGTGGAACCCATGGATATGGAGAACCAACTGCAATGACCAGACGCTCACCCTGACCCACAGGGGAGGCTTAGGTATATGGTTACTACTAGGACATTTCTCAATCTGTACTCCCCGACAGCCTGTTAGTAGAATGCTGGACTCCTCCGTGGACTCAGACATGGTCCACAACTGAATCAAGGGCGACATTTCCGACACTGTCGGTTTGGAGGTATATAATGAATTAGTTGAGACATTTCACTAAGGAGGCAGCTGCAGCAGGGCCTGTTGGCTCTTCTGTTCATTGCAAGAGCGACACTTTACTCACATCACTGTAGTTTATTCGGTTGAGTTTGGCTAGCATGATTTCTGGTGTGTCAGGCATGACATGGATTGTTTTCTTGTCATTTTCCCAGGCTTCAATATATAAGCGCTATCAAAAAATGAAAGAAAAAAAAAACCTGTGTTGGTGTTCATAAGCATTTTCCTTTTGAGTATATGCCAGTCACTTCTGTTGTATACACAGTAGAAATAAAATATTACATCTGTATAAATTCCTACCTTCTAGTTTCAGTACTGGGAATTGAATCCAGGGCCTCTGCAATGAGCTACGTCCTCAGCCCTTTTTCATTGTGAGACAGGGTCTCACTAAGTTATTTTATAATGTTAGCTCACTAAATTATCCTAAATTGCTCAGATTGGGCTTGAACTTTCAATCTTCTTGCCTCAGTCTCCTGGAATAATGGAATTACAGATGTGTGCCACCATGCTTGGCTTACCTTTGTATTTTATTAAAATTCTTCAGGAATTTAATTCTTTAATTATTAAAGAATTATGGATTCATTGCAACATAGCATTTCAAACATCAGTTTAATATTTTGAAGTATCACTAAGTAACTATGGTATTACCATAGAGAAGTTATTTTAAGAAGGTATCATAAATGTTATAGTAATTGTTGAAATGTAATGATGTGACAGAATTCTCTCCATGCTCAATGGAAACTTCTGACAGCTAACAGTAAGGACTAAAGACTCACCTTATTCATGTTCAGTGCGTTATTCTTTGCCAACACCTGCTCCAGAGAGTCGGTGACACTGGTAAATTTTAGTGCGTCTGGACGCTGGCGGTAAATGTTATCACTCAGTATCTCTGTGGCTCTCTTGGCTTTAAGGACTTCCAGGGAACCAATTGGAACCCAGCCAATGCCTTTCATCCATTCAAGGTCTGACTTATACAAGTTCTGAGGATCAATAGAAAAAATGTGTTCATTAGTGTTTCAGATGTACAGTCACAAGTAAATCATACTCTGGAAATAAAAACTTGATGGATAAATAAAGCTCCCAGCACAGTCAATCACTTGCAAGGATGTTTTCCCCTCAGAATCACACCAATTATGATTGTACCAATAATGATGAAAAAAAATGTTTTAAAAGTTATGGTCTTGCCCTTGACAGGATTACGAAGTTTTTACCCTGAAGCAAGACTTCTTTAACTTTTGAAAATGTCTTCTAACAACTCCAAATACAACCACACACTTGTGGTGTCCGAATATTGCAAACACAAACACTCCTGCTGTCATCTCCAGCTTCAAAAGTGACATAATAGCAAATGTGTGAAAGAAGTCTGACACATAGATATCACATGCTTACCTAGTTAGACATTTTATTTGACTCTCAATAAGATACACCAAATGCTAAAAAAATTTGAGGATTGATTTTGGAAAATACAAGAATATTCCAGAATTTTCTTGTCAGCAGATGTAAAATATAAATATTTATTAAAGTAATTTGGCATAGTGTGCTTTTCCTCCCACTCTCTCCACTCCACCCTCTGTGAACAACACTACCCCTTCAGCTTAAAATTGATAATGATACACTTTAGGGGGGTGCCCAGTTCCATCTGCCTCAAAGGCAACTTATAGCACTAGGAAGATAGATATTGATACAGAATTAATAATATTTATTTCCTCCTTTATGCATAACTTTTGGAGGAGAAAAACTGTAAAAACAAATTGCAGTACTTCTCTTGAGAAACTCTTCTTAGACAGTCAGCCATGTGTAGTGTGAACTATCAGGTCCCAGGGTACAGACACAGTTGGAACCATGCCTACATTCCAGATCTGCTTTTAACCTGAGACCCAGGGGTCAGGGTACTCACATCGCTCTGGAGGTCGTAGGCTTTTCGTGCCTGAATGACATCGTTCTGGTCAGGGAGACAGGTCCACTCATGCAGAAGGTGTTTATAGTCCACATCACTGACCAAGGTCTGGCACTTCTTGGCCAAAACAATACCCAGCATGTCCACGGGGCTGCTGAACCTTGTCTTGTATTTCTCAAATTCTTTCTTGTACTCACGGTCACTCTGCATTTTGGCAATGTGGATGGACCACATCATCTTGGGGTCGTCGTGTATAGCTTAGGCACCAATGTGGTGGCTCAACTGCTTCCGATAGCCTTCTTTGTATTTATACTGAGAGAACCCTCTCCCTCTCCCCCTCCCTTCCCTCTCCCTCTCCCCCTCCCTTCCCTCTCCCTCTCCCCCTCTCCCTCTCCCTCTCTCCGTCCCTCTCCTCCTCCCCCTCCTCCTCCTCCTCTTCCTCCTTCTTCTTACCCTGCCTCAGGTTTAATTGTACAAAGAGCACAGGAGGACATCAGCCCCCTACAGATGGCACCTCAGGTGTCACACCAGTCCTTCTGTTTTTACATCAGCAGATAAGAGGCTTTTACTGTGGGGCCTTCACGGGGGGCTTGGGAACTTTGGGAGCCTGGGCACCTTTGGGAGTCAGGGCTTGAGCAGAAGCTGGAGCCTGGGCCTTGGCTGGAGCCTGGGCCTTTGGGCGGCAAGGCCTGCGACCCTTGACAATGCGGGTACGGATTTGCTTCCCAAGCTTGGGGTGGGCAATATAGGCAAGTCGAGTGAGCCTGAAGTTTACTCCCTTTGGAATGATTTTGGGCTTGATCTCCCTGGGCTTGATGAGGGACATGATAGCCTCGGTGTGTGCATTCATGGCCTTGGCATTGTTTGTGTGCATCTTCTTGAAGACCTTCTTGTTGTGCTTCTTGACAAAACACAAGTTCCTAAGGAACTTGGGATCTACCCTCTTCAGAAATTTGTATCTTTGTGACGGAGGTTTCTTGATTCCATTTCTGTGCCATTTTCAGGACTGGTTGTGCATGGTATGGTTCTTAGACTTGGCCATAACTGCACTATAAGCTGCGGCTCCTTGCTGAATTTCAAAAAGGGATGGTTTCCCCTCTACCTTCCTTGGGACCACTTGGCCTCAGGTCAGCTGCAGTGTTTGCTTCTCTGGAGCCCTCAGAATTGGGCACAGCTTGCATTTCACAATAAGGACCCAGAGTCAGCCCACTGTTTTCAGGCTCTGGTTCTTGCTGGAGCAGTTTCCAACTCCAAGGGAAGACTATGCTACACAGCTTGAGCAGTAAAGTGCTCCCAGACCCACTCATGGGGTCCAGCTCAGTCAAGAGCAATCAGATTCTTGGAGGTTAATTGACATCTTTGGGTACCGAGCTGGATTTCCACAACCTATCCAGCACATAGATGCCTCAAGCCAAGCAGTGGAATCTTTATTGGTTCCCTGGGACTGGCTCTGACTATGTCTTTCTGCCTGAGTCACTGGGAGTGGAAAGTGAGCTCTGATTGGGCCCAGGACCTTGGGTTTTGTCCTCTGCTATCCAAGTTTTCTAAGGGGAAGTGGAGTTGGTGTGAATACCTACAGCAGAGCAGTGGCCCCCATATGTGACTATACCTTGTATCACTTGAGAAAGTTTCCCAAACCTACTGTCCAAGGTTCACTGTAAAATACTTACCCCATCATCTCTGTGGGAGCCACCTAGAAGTTTCAGTGACCACCCAAAATGCAGCCATATTTGAGACCCAGAGTTTCTGCAACTTGAATGTAATACCTATTACCCAAGGAATTTACTGAAATGCAGACTCTGATTCCATGGTTCAAGGGCTGTGTTTTTTTCACAAGAGCCCAGGTGATCTGATTCTGCATGTTCTCAGGCCACAGGTCAGCCACACAGGAAGTCCCTTCCAGCTCAGACCATTCATAGAGCTTTTGCCTTCCTTCCAAGCCCTGAGCCAGCTGTCCCAGCCTCAAGCCTCACCACCAAGATACAAGCCTGCTCACCAGCCAGGCCATCTTGAGGTCTTCTATTTTCCCTGAAACTCAAGTAATTCTGGTCATTCTGGTGGTGTCTTCAGCACTCTGGCTTTGCAGTTGAGGAAGTACTCAGGATGCTTAGTTTTACTCCCTGCCCACTTTCACAAGGACTGGTATCCACTCTTGCTTTTCAAGGGTCAGGTACTGACTTACTAGAGCTGTGAATAAATAAAATGAGTGCCCCTAAAACAACTGAAAATTCCTGTATATGAGTTTGGAAAGCCAGAAGTGTAAAAGTCAAGGTGTCAGCAGGTTAGGTTCTTCCCAAGGACTGGGACAGAAGGAACTGCTTCGGGCCTCTGTCCTGAACTTGGATCATTCACATTTTCTTTTTTCTCTATGTCTGTGTTCACATTTATGTTTTTTATAAGGACACTGTTAGTACTGGATTAGAGCCTATCTATGTGACTGTAATTTAACTTCACTGCCTCTATAAAGGCCATAATCTCCAGGTAAGGTTGTGTTATGAAATATCGGGGATTAGGACCTCAACATATAAATTTGGAGTGACACAACCCACCGCATATCAGGCTGTCATTCAGGATATCAACACCTAATTACCAGATAATTTGAGTTTTCAGGGGAAGCCAGAAATATCATGATTGACATAAAATCTGATTTTAAAAAGAAATCAGTGCTGGGGATCAAAGCCAGGGCCTCATGTGTGCTAGGCAAGTGCTCTGCTTCTGAGCTACACCCCAAGCCCATGAACCCAGGTTTTCCCATGTGGTACATGTGTACCATCCTAAAGAAACACCTTGTGGACTCAGGCAATACCTCTGCATGCCACGTCTGCACCCGGGGCTCATCCTGCCACCCTTGGACAAGGACTTCCTGTGAAGGGCCGCACCACCCTCCCACCATAGTAACTTTCTCAGGGCCTCCTTGTGGCCTTTACAGGTTGCCTCCCAGGCTTCAGAGCTCCCTCTCCTGAACCCTAAGGCCACATTTCCCTGCTTTTTCCTTTTCTGTGCTTTTGCTGCATCCTCTGAAACATTCACCTGTCAAACTCCTAAGCTTTGGCCAAGGACCAGCCCTTCTCTGTCTTCTGCATTGTCTCTTGCAGTCCTTCCTCCCTCTCCAACCCCGTTGGATCAGTACTCTATTACTGCACTGCCAACAGGGTGGTCACTAGAGCTTGCATATTGCTTTGCCTTCCCACTTTCCTATATCTGGTGGTGTCACAGAAGTGGAAACCAGACTTACTTATCAACTCTTGGAGGATCAGAGCCTGGATTGAGACAACCACGAATTTAAATCCTGGCTCTGCCTATTTCTTCTCTGTGACCTTGAAAGGTCAATTCACCTCCAACTCCCATTTCTAAATCTATAATATGGCTATACTAACTAACAGAATAGGATTATTTGAGGATTTCAGGGCTGGAACCCAGTAGAGCTTTTTAAACATGGATGGCGAGTGAGTGAAACAACTCAAAGGAGAAGCCAGAGTTCCCATGTGGGCTGGTGGACAGCCAGGAGTGAGCTGAGCATAAATTCATGATGGATGCTGTACTTTGTTTTCACATTTATTAATTGACTGCAACTTTCAAAGTAGGTGTGGTTGGTATGTTCACTCCTCTTTAAGGGGAGGATTGACAATGGCAATCCTGAACAAAGAATTGAATCTGCTGAATCCTTTCTCCTGGCCCTGAATTTAAGCAGCATCAACCTCTGTACCATTCAGGCAGCCAGACACACCAGGCCCCAGAAATCTTTCTTGAACCTAGGATCCCTGGAACTGGCTGGCAACAAACAAAGGTTCCTCATTCTTCCACCATATGACTGGGACCACACACCCTTCTCTGGACCTCCGTGTCCCCTTCTGTACCATAAACCATAAAGCAGAGAGGCTGGAGTATGAATCTGTAGCCAGTCTGCCTGTGCTCACTTCCCAGCTCTGTATCTCATTGGTGGAGTGACCCTGAACCCTGCTTGAGCCTCAGTTTCCCATCTGTAAATGAGTACCCACAATAAAGAATGAATGAATGCATCCTTGTGAAATTTATGCTACAATGCCTGACACACAATAAACGTTGAATAAATGTTAGCTCTTTGTGCATGTTCTACTAATGTATTCCATGATTCCCACACTCCTTCAGCCCTCTGACTCCTTGTCCAGTGCTCCTTCCACCCCATTAACCTAGCAGGAACCTAAATGCCTTTCCTCCCCAGGAATCCACTTCTTCTTTGTCCTGTTTTGCTGACTCCCAGAATGTCCTAGGCAGGGCATAGTGGCCCCAGCCCCCATTCCACACAGCTGCTATGAAGTCCCCCACTAGAACCCTCTTCAGAGCCCCAGCTTTCTGGTGTGAACTCTGACCCCCATTCTTCCAGCTTGAATTGGGCCAGCCTGAGGGAATGGGGCCCAACTAGTAACCCCTCAGGGGACTTGGGCCCCAGCGTGCTTCCAAGCAAAATGAGCAGAGCTCAGCAGAAATGTCCTGGGTAAGGATGTGGGTCAGTGGCCCAGAGGAGCTGGTGATGAGGGTTGCCAGATGGAGAACAAAAGGGTTTTGGAGAGAGGGTCAGGCCTGAGAGCCTGCCCCCAAGACCTGACACAAGAGAGGAAATTCAGGAATTGGCCACACACTAGCCAACAGCAGCTAGCAGCGGAGAGCCTGTGAGCAGCACCTAGGAATCTGAATATCAGAAAAGTTCCTCTGTCCCAAAGCACTGACTGGCCTAATACCCCTTTCCCAACACAGCTGCCCACCACTCCAGGCAACAGTCTCTGGACCCTGGGCCCTGACAGTGTGTCCACCCATTTCAATCCACTCTCCCCAAGGCCGCATGGCAACTTTTCAAAAACTGCAGTCAGGCTCTCAGGTCTCCTCGATGTGGCCACCTGGTAGGGACTTGTGGACACCATCCCTGGTCATGTGATTTCTGCTTACCTAAGTCTCAACTCCTAGCTCACCCCTGCTGAGGCTGGGTCCACCAAAATACCATGACAGTGCTGCTCTTGAAGCGCTCTTGGCTCTGGGGTTCCCCTCGTGGCCAGGCAGATGAGGGCAGCCTGCTGGGGTTGGGGAAGAAAGGGACTTATCCCCTGATCACCAATTTGCAGAATCCATATTTTAAACATACATGTATTAAAATAATGTCATGGCTCTGGGAGCCATGGGCTCCACTGCCCAGCTCAACAAGCAGACCCTCCTGGCCAGGGTCTCACATCCTTTTTATTTTCAAAACTGATAATCGAAGAAAAAAAAACACT